ATTCACAAAACACAAAGTTTATCCACTAAAATATTCATAAAACACAAAGTTTATCCACCAAAATATTCACAATATGAAAAGTGTATCCACCAAAAATAGTTAAAAGACACAAATATATATCGAATTAATAGCGACAGAATAATTGGATGTTGTTTATATTTGTACGTCATACTTAACGTGATAGGGGTGACTGACTTTTTCTTCAATTGCACATTAATATGTTTCACATATATTTAACTTGTAACTATTTGAACATAAATATTATTCCATTAAATATAATTTATAATTTAATAAACTACTTTTCTTCACAATTTTAAAAGTTCTAGATATTGAAGTGTTAACTAGGCTTTCTTTAGAATATTATATAAACAGATTTTCAAAACGTATATCAGTTGTGATATAAGTACGTATGAAAGGCAAATCATTATTCTCTTGAAATGTAATAGTAAACCTAATGTCTTCATTTTGTGGATTAAAATATAACAAGAATGCTTCAATAGAATATTGTGAACGTATTATCCTCATATATTCTACAATATATGAATTTGTACATTTCTGGGCCTTTTCCTAATCATTGCCTCTCGTAATAACATAAAACTTAATTGGTAAAACCTGGTAGAAGGTCAGATCCCAGCGTAACTCCAGTTAACAGTTCATATACGGTATTAGTAAGTAAGAGATGGGGCTGTTTGGCGATATGATGTAATATTTTTAATATTGATTTAGGTACGCTATTAATGACGTTTTTAAAAAGAGATTGAAAATGTCTCTCAAGAAAAAAAATAATGACCTTATACAAAGATGATTTCGGTCTAAGTTTGATCATTTTCAGGTCAAGATAGCCAGCAGCCTCTCTTTAAGGGTAACAACAACAAAAAGTAGTGTATCTTATAATTTATTCGCAAGCAAGTTCAATATATGAAGTTTCCAAAATCCAAAGGGGACATTCATCATGGGATCCTAGAATGATATTCAGTTGTTCAATAGTAGATGTCCAAACAAAGACATGTAACAATGCTAGAGCTTAGACCTCTTAGATGGACATGCTACTTATTTTTCTTTTGCAGCCGTCTTTTAGTGAAACCCATATATGTAAATACCTTTGCTATTACATTTATATTCAGCAGTCCAGAAGGTAAAGTTCAACAAGATATTTTTTGGACTTTCGTAACAGGGTGTATTATTGAAACTGATTACTATGACATATGGTCTACTGGTCCTCTTCCAAGTTAACTCATGAGGCTCAGGAAATTTTATGTCCACTTAGATTGATAACACCTAGTATGGGTATATAACCTATAGATGTTCTTTAGCTGAACGTATTACTCTTCTACTTAAATGCTTTGTATTAAATGCTCTGTTTTATATATTTTGCAAATTCCAAATGATTGAATAAGAGACTTTCTGCGTTAGCTTTGACGCAGTTTCCATTTTTTATAAATATATCATGTAAAGAATTAATTTAATTTGCAAAGATATATAATTTATACATGGTACATCTAAATCAGTTTTTAAAACTCGATTGAATTATACCACCAAACAGTTTCATTTCTTATTTAATGACACATTTACAAGAACAAATATATAGAAGTTCCTATGCTGTCTGACTTTTCATCAATTTTTTTCAATTTATATTTGTTTCATTACTTGAGACACTGGTTCAGAAGAGTGTCCAAATTTTTATATTGTACAAGATATGTGTAAGGTACATTCACAATCTTCTATAATCAGGTTCAAGCTGAAGTATTATATTTATATCCGAATCAACAACATAAAAAGAAAACGTTACATTTACTATGAAGTTCAAGAAGACAGCAAAGCTAATTTTATTAGATGCTTATATTCTACAGACATTTCAGGTCATTTATTAGCCAATGGTTATCGTGAAATGACATTCACTAGATTATACTGACATTTAAAAATCTTTGTTCCCCCTATTTTTTCAAACATAATTTAATTTAGTTTTAGTATACAGAGCTGGTGAAATAATTAGTGAACGGTACTATATCATGAACTTAATTTAATTAAAGACCATCTAGATAGAAATAGTTGCTCATTAAAGATGTATGAGAGAACTATTAATGTACAATGGGAAAAAATTAATTACCCTTGTCAGGCTAAATACAATGTATCAATAAAGAACGTTATTCTGATTGTCATAAAATGTTTCTATTAGAATTAATTAAAAGATAATGTATGTCAATGAAAAGTACTTACAACATGCAAAATGTGTCCGTAAAAAATGTTCACAAGACAGGTGATATCGAATAATAATAATAATACTTATATGAAAAATAGAATCTCAAGTCACAAATGCAATAGATACATGTATGAAAAATAGAATCTCACGTCACAAATTCACTAAATATATGTATGAAAAATAGAATCTCAAGTCACAAATGTACTAAATATGTATATGAAAAATAGAATCTGAAGTCACAAATGCAACAAATACATGTATGAGAAACAGAATCTCATCTCACAAAGGTACTTAATACAAATATACATAAAAAGTCTTCACGATAAGTTTTATTTTATTTTGTTATCAAACAAAAATCTACACAATAGGCTATGCATGCTGTTTCCATCACAGGGATTTAACCCCGAATCTTGATGTTATAAGACATCGAGTTTACAGATGAGCCACTACGGGCATTCACGAGTCATAGAGTTTATGAAATAAAAGTATTTACAAGAAAAAATATATTAATCAAAACTAATTACGAAATAAATATATTCCTCAAAAATATTCAAAAGCTACAAAATGTATTTATGAAAGTAATTACAAGAAACAAATATTGAAAGTGTTCATGAAACACTATATTTATCCATCAAACATCAAAATATCCATAAGAAAGAAAAGGTATTCCTCAGGCGTGAAAAGTGTTCACTAGAAACAAAAGATGTGTATCAAAACGTATTAATCAAAATTACTAAACAGAAAATGTTCCCAACATGAGTCATTTGGGGACACAAAATGTATTTGTTAAGATATATTCAGAAGACAAAAAAATGTATTCATCAAAAGTAATTACCAGACAGAAAATGTACATATCAATGATATTCACAAAGTGTTAATAAGGCTCAAAATGCAAGAACCAAAAAATATTCAAAAGACAGAAAATGTATTCATCAAAAGTAATAACAAGCATAAAATGTATCATCAAAATTCAAAGTGCTTTTTAAAAAGCATTCACATATTACAAGCGGTATTCATTAAAGGAATTCACAAAATGCTAAATATATGCAGATTACTAATGTATCCATCCAAAACAAACACAAGACATAAAACTACTTACCAGATTACCAATGTAGCCATCCAAAACAAAAACAAGACATAAAACTACTTACCAGATTACCAATGTAGCCATCCAAAACAAACATAAGACATGAAACTGTTTACCAGATAACCAATGTACCCATCAAAAACAAACACAAGACATAAAACTACTTACCAGATTACCAATGTATCTATCCAAAACAAAACCAAGATATACAACTACTTACCAGATTACCAATGTAGCCATCCAAAACAAACACAAGACATAAAACTACTTACCAGATAATCAATGTAGCCATCCAAAAACAAACACAAGACATAAAACTACTTACCAGATAACCAATGTATCCATCCAAAACAAAAACAAGACATAAAACTACTTCCCGGATTACCAATGTAGCCGTCCAAAACAAAAACAAGACATAAAACCACTTACCAGATTACCAATGTAGCCATCCAAAACAAACACAAGACATGAAACTGTTTACCAGATAACCAATGTACCCATCCAAAACAAACACAAGACATGAAACTACTTATCAGATAACCTATGTATCCGTCTAAAACAAATACAAGACATAAAACTACATACCAGATAACCAATGTATCCATCCAAAACAAACACAAGACATGAAACTACTTACCAGATAACCAATGTAATGATCCAAAGCAAACACAAGACAGAAAACGCATCCATTCAAAGCATTCATAAGGTATTAAATGCATCAACCAAAAATATAATAATACAAAAAAAAACAAATTTATCAAAATACTTTATAAGACATAAAAGATGTCCATCAAAAGTATTCAAAAGACAAAACCAAATTATATTTTTCAAACAAGCAATATATATCCACTGTTTTTATCAAAATTAATCAAAAACACAAACCCATCTCTCAAAAATATTCAAAATACAAAAAAGTTTATGCATCAAACATTTTCTAATATCAACTCTATTTATATAACCCCAAATTTAACCATCAAACAAAGGGAACCTCATGTTCCAAACTTTGTCTATCAAAATTAATTAAGGCACACAATGTATATCTCAAGATAAAAATGTAAAATACATTATCATAATGCCATAATTATTCACAGGATACAAGATATACAATTTAACATGATAAGTATTCATAGGACACATGAAAAACATTTACATATCTCACACAAGCATTCACAAAACAGTATTAACCAAAAGACACACAATATAGAAAACAAACATCAAAAGTCTTCACAAAGTATATTCACCAAAAATAGTTATAAAAAACAAAAATGTAGTTTTTAAATAATTCACGTTTGAGTTGTTTTCAGCGTATGTAGTTCTAACAGCGAACAAGATGTCATAATAAAAGAAACTCTGGCATTTAAAAAACTCAATTCTATATATAGAAGTATTGTTTTAAAGATAACTTTCCTTTAGTGTGTGAATGAATAAATATCCACTTTGGATTTTTTTAAGTATCTTCCTCTTAAAAATTAATTTATTTCCAAGTAAAGTCAGTTTGAATTTCCCACCGAATTTTCCTATCGCTAAGTGAGAAATATATTACTTTATATCTCTAGAAATGATTTTTGCCGAAGTAATACAAACAGTAATCAATCAAGTTATTTTACTAAGAACGAATACAACACAGATATGTACATCAATTAATTTTATTTCTTTACTAAACAGTCAAAATAGAAAGTATCTTCCATATCTATGACAGAGCAAACGTGACAGAGTTTAGAGAAAAGAAATACAAATATTGTTTAATTAACAGCAATCCACATGTCATCTTCAGTGAAAGTTCTTTGTAGATTATTTGAGTTGCCATTCTTCGTCATGCAAGAATATCAAATACAATATATTCACGTTTTGAGCTTACAGAAACATGTGCCAACAGTTTCCACAAGATAATATAAACAAAGTTATTTCTTTTTCATAATTTAATGGAATGTAGTATAATATATATATCACAGCTAGAGGAGGTCCAAGATTTGGAGAGACATTATTATGGATTAATACTTTAAAAAACAATCTTCTTGAGCTCGACCGCTGCCGTTCATTTCAAAGTTATCAACGGTTGGAATTCGTATGGTCCGTTTATCGCGTTTCCTGCACCTGACAATTATCGCTATTAGAACCAGCATAAGTAGAAAGAGCGTGACTCCGACCCCTACGGCAACGTACAACAGAGGATACCGTTGGCAATTTTCTGCCGCCTCGTCGTAGCCTGATGGACAATGTTTCTTTCCATCACACCATAGGTCAGGACTAATACATGCATTAATTTCCGGGCATCTGACAAGACAATTAATGGTCCTTAAGGACTGGCCCACGTTTTTCTTCAGGAAGGGTTTTGTCACCTCACCCCACTCTACACGCACAGGCTGTGGGGCTTTAATGATAGCTTCAAGAATGATATGATTTGTCTTTCCTTGGGACACGCGGTCAGTCTGATGTGGCGTTACAGAATCCATACCACTCCCAAACGGTGAAACTACTTTTACTTCTGTCATATTGTCATTCAAGCAAACCATCGCAATAGCTGTGTTACTACTCCCAATGTAAACCTTTACTACGTTGTTGTACGGACATTCTCCTGGTCCCTTTGTTCCACGAAGTGTTAAATATGTATGTTTACCAACAGCTGGTTTCAACGACCATCTACAACGAAATTCACCATGTTCGTCTATCACCGACCTGTTAACAACCATAGTGAGTATTCCTTTTGAGCCCTTTTCTTCCTTTAAAACATAATCACAAGGAGGAAAAGAGAAAAACTTATAATTAGCTCTAAAATTAAAATGGTGATAGTCTTGTACAGAAGTCATGCCTTTTACAGTAAAAATCACTGAAACATTATCGCTAAGAGAAGTAATTTCGATAGGTTTATGTGCTAATGATATCAAGCTTATGTTACAAAAACAGCCAAGCGACAGTTCGATTCCCTGCCAGTTTTCAACAACTTGTATAAAGGAAAGAGGTTCCTTATTATTCTGAGTGATTTCACAAGTTCTTTGATGCGTTACACTATCAATCATATTTGTACATACCGATGACAAAAGTTGTAGGGTTAGAAACATTATTTTCACTCGTTTTGAGTCTCTTCCTTTAAGATTATACCGACAAGAAATCTCACGACGACCTCCTCTACCATAATACAAGACATTCCTCGGGGAAAAGATTGTACCATGGTTTGAGTTTTCACTTCCTACAAACCGGTCGCAAAGAGATAAGTGAAGGCCCAGCCCGGGTTGACGAGTGTCTACAATTTCATAACGGGCTTTGAAAATAGGCTGGATTGTTGATATTCCCGAAATTCTTGGATAATGCAACCTCAACATCAACTCTGGTCCCTTAGAAAAGTAACTTTCTTCTGGTAAACTGCAGGGACGGAGGGGTATGAGACTACGCGTATCTCCTGCACGAGTGCAAAGCTGTGGTGAACTTTTCTCACAGTACGTGTGGTTGTTTTCAAATGAATTGTTTTCTGTGAATACCAAATGATCTGGAACAGCCGAGCCTAGAATCTGTAGTTTACCAGTGTCGCAGTGTTCTGTAAGTGACCAGGGATGCTTGTCTTCTACTATATAAGACGTAAAGTACAACCAGACACGATCAGAGGGGCGTTTACCTCTTATAATGTAAGTACATATAGTTTGCAATGGGACAGTGTGCTGGGGATTTTCAATAATTCCTTCTCTTTCCTGTGACACATCAATTAGAAAGTTACAGCTATTTCCCTTTATCCGCCAAACTGGTTTCTTGACAAATCTGACCCGCGCTTCTAGCTCTAGCCTAGAATCGTGCAGTAGCTGAGATGGAGCACTAACCAGCTGGATCAAGACGCTGGATTGACTGGATACAACTGCAGGAAGAGCACCCGACCCACAAAACTCAGTTAATAAGACTGTATCTGGTGTCGAACCGTCAAATATACGTACAACGTCTCGTGAACACTCAGTGGTTAGTGAACTGCTTGAAATTGCTCCGAGACCGGAATGTCCGTTTTCAATGGAAATTTTGTATTCATTGTCCTGCTTCAGCACTATCTGTGCATGGAATCCTTTTGGAATCTCATTTTGTCTTATCAAGTACTGACATGTAAAATTCGGTAAAAATGTACCCGGAAAGTTTGGAGATCTAATAATACAGACTTGGTTAACGCAATCACGATATTCCACGTTACAAAAAGAATTTGGTGTTGCCCTTCCTACGTTAACCTTGGTGTCATCTTCTTGAATCCCCACACTCGTTTTCGTGGTAATAAACCTGTACGTGAGAAACACGTTAAAAGACTGATACCGCCAAGAAGTCCGACGTGGCATGAAAATAAGAAGGGTAACGTTATTCCCGCTTGAGAAGTAGTTGACACCTTGGGCTGACATTTGGCCGCAAAAATATCCAAAGTGGGGTGCAATTTTTCCTGTAAAGTTATACAAGCTCGGAAACATTCCGTTTGTGTGTTTCAGCGCTGAGACGAGCTGGCTGAGACCACGTGTTTGTTGGTGGCTGATATCTGTTTCTGGATTTTTCTTATCGAGAACTTGCAGGTGGCCACCATAGCAAGTGAGACCGGAACTAAACAAAGAAGGAAAAAAGTTGTTACCAACTCCAACTAGCTATATAAATTTTTTATTGACATAGGACAATATCTCACTACAAAGCATAGTTCCTAAATTTTTTATTGTCAAATTAGGTTAAGAGCAGCAGTTTATCTAAATATTGTGAGATTGGAAGTCAATTTGTCTGATACCAATTCTCTTTGTTAACTTGGAGTACAGAATAAATTCACTAACCAAATGATGGGCAAAGAATCAACTACAACATATTTCTAGATATGATCTAATAACAATGAAAACATTATAGTGCTGTCGAGATGAATTGTCCATCCAATAGTACAAATTATAAAAATGCTCAAAGCTAATTTGTATCTTTTATGCACACCTGTACGTGTATAGCAAATAAAGGATCTTCTAAATATTTTTATGAACATTTTCTTTAGTTTAGTGACCGAGCGGTAAATGACATACTAAGCCTACAATAAAAATGTTTGTAAAAATAATCACGATTAATTAAATGATCCAAAAAGTTTAAGTACAGAAAAAAATATAATTGTTTACTATTTGACAAAAAGTAACTAAAATGATAAAATGTTTATTACTTGTATGAAAATGTAAATATTCTGATTTTGCATTATTTCGCAACTTTCGAAAACAAGGATCATGGATATTGTGTCAGCTTGTACTTATTCGCAAGTGTTTATCTGGTGCAGTGGAGCTTAAGTAAAATAACATTTTTAAACCCACTGGAAAATTAGAACATCCAGCTGTAATGATAGAGATCTTTTGGTTGAGTTAACAAGTTTGTTTGTCCACGTTTTCTATTTAGGGATTATCAGCTTTGTCTTAAGTTAAATAAATTATGTAGTATAATAATGCTTACAAAGTTTTAAAATTAAAGATACGATACTTGTAGTCTTTTGAGATCATGTGTTTCAAAAACAGCATATAAACACTTTGTGTAATATTACTGCTTTCCAATTTACTCTGGCGGGTCAGCGATTAATTTAAAGTCTTTCAGTGCTAAAATCAGTGCTGGTTGATTATTCAGTAACCATGCTCTAAAATACAACACACGCATTAATATAACGAATAAAGAGCTTCGACATGCGATAGCTTGAAAACCGAGTTCGATTAGTTTTGCCAAGGGGTACTAATATGAAAACAAAATAATGATACAAATATTATACAGCCTTATTTCTTACTAAGTTTTTAAAATTGTCCAACTGATAAATTACAACAGACATAGTTATACTTCGAACTTCGTAATAAATCTGAAGGCAATATCAGTTCCAAAAGAAGAAAACAATGAAGAACTTCCTGATTTCACCAACAGGGGTGCCACAGGTGATAATCCTTAAATGGCTGTAGTTTTATTTGTTGAGCTTTTGTACTTAACAGTTGTTATTTTTGTCTATGAAAACTTTTAACTAATAGCATTAACTTACTTAACTAGTGTTCCCGTGGAGGTTTTAAATAGAGAAAGCTGTTAAAAACAAAATCCCTTATTGTGAATAAGAGTCAGGTGTTGGTTAATAACGCTTGAGGAGTGTAGTTTTTCTAACTGAATATTTATTACAAATGTAGCTGTAAAACTTGAGGAACTCAAACTTCTCGTAAACTGTTCTGATGAAAGACATATGAATACAGACATTATGACTGAAATTAATGTTAAAAATGCTTAACAGAAAGTTTGTTGAATATAGTTAGTCATGTATAATATACATGAAACAACCACGTCCTTAAACGTCTCCAAAAACTGTAAAAATTGAGGAAGATATGAGGGTAAAACAACATTATGAACATGATCTTTAGATAGATAATCAACAGCACCACACACAACGCCAACTCAAGTAAAACAACACTGTGAACATGATCTTTAGATAGATAATCAACAGCACCACACACACAACGCCAACTCAAGTAAAACAACATTGTGAACATGATCTTTAGATAGATAATCAACAGCACCACACACAACGCCAACTCAAGTAAAACAACATTGTGAACATGATCTTTAGATAGATAATCAACAGCACCACACACAACGCCAACTCAAGGACGACTCTAATCTAATAATGGGGTTTGACTCTCACTTTTATAACGCATCCATGGCCTCATCTTGCTTAATGCGAGTCATTGACCTCGAATCACAGTCTAGCACACTAACAGCTATGCTACTTCCGGCCCATTGTATGTTTGTATGTCTGGTAAGCTTTGAGAATTTTCGATTCTGTGGGATCTGTAACTACAAATCATTTAGGTTGCACAGTTGCTGTTGCAAATAAAATTATAATTAAGAAGAACCAAATATCGCCACATGTATTTCTATTATACATGCTTTAAGGTCACACCTGTGTACATAAGAGCCCGTTAAAGTAGCAGACAACAATTCGCTTTCGTATTTTACACAGCCAAGATATGGTCCTTTAGACATACCGATAATTTTTCTCACTCATATAGCAATTCATTTTGTTTTTAAATAATCACATAGATTGGGCTTATGTTATTTCCATTATGTAGCTCTACTTCAATCATAGGATGGATATCTGATTTCAATACATGCCAACACGCGTTGCATGTAGTACAACTTTGGAGAACGGGACGTGTTACCCTCTTTTTTTTCAACTCTGCCCTCTTTGTGTTTTCGATAAAATTACGACTGTGCAATCAATTTTATCCTCGCGGATTCCTGGCAGAGAAACTTCATTTGTTTGAACTAGCACGTTGTGTATTGAAAAGTTCAACCGAAACTCTGTGATAATCGCAATATTGCATGTTGCTATTTACATTTCTATTCCCAATTACGAATAACAACCTTTATCTTAAACTGTGATCAAGAATGAAAAGAAATTCACGTTGACATTTTCTTAAAAAAATATAAACTCAAGAGCTTTCACGCAGTTCCTCTCTATCTAATCAACGATAGATGAATTAAGTTTGATAGGTATAGCCGTATTAACTTAAAAACTAAGCATTATTAGTTCTTCAATGGAGAGATGAAGGCCCCAGAGAAAATTTCTAAAAATATTTAAATATAGAATAATTAAATTTGCTAGTTATAGCCGTGTTAATAAGCAAATGCCAAACATTACTGAAAGTCAACAGAGAGACGAAGAAAAATTGTAATTGGTGGAAGTGTCCCAAAATAGTGATAAAAACATGTGAATAATTACTAACTGTAATCGATAAAGTAGACTGGAGAAAGTTCCTTAAGACAAACGTCAGTGATAAAGACTTGTGAATAATTACTAACTGTAATCGATAAAGAATTCTTGTTAAGTTCAATAAGACAAACGTCAGTGATAAAGACTTGTGAATAATTACTAACTGTAATCGATAAAGAATTCTTGTTGAGTTCAATAAGACAAACGTCAGTAATGAAAACTTGTGAATAATTACTAACTGTAATCTTGTTGACTTCCCTAAGACAAACGTCAGTAATAAAGCTTAGTCGATTGTTGTTAAAATAAATCTTTGTGGTGGAAAATGGAGGCGTTTTTTACAAAAAAAATCAAAAAGACTGTTTGTTTGTAATCAAGCACAAAGCTACACAATGGGCTATCTGTGCTCTTCCCACCACGGGTATCGAAACCCGGATCCTAGAGTTATAAGTACGCAGACATACCGCTGTGCCACTGGGGGGGCACAAAGACTGAATCGAATTGTGGTTGATACACCCAAAATAAGCATTCATGATAAAGATTTCTTGAAAATTTTAATAAAAGAGGTTGTGATAAAGGGTGAATAATAATTTCCAGCATAATTCGCTCATTACAAAAAGTCGTTAGTGTTAAACTAATGGACAATTCCTTTATTCCCTTGCACTATCTCCAACCAGCATTTTTACTCTCTGTCAGGCCGAGGCAACTTAGATATAACAAGTAAATAACCTGTCAAGCGAAATCAATGCAATAAAACAAGTTCACCTACTGTCAGTTGTAACAGGCAAATCAAGATCAAACCAAAAAAGCCTCATAGTATGTTCATTAACTTTCAGAGACACAATATTTACCCAAAGTCAGACCAAGAAACTTAAGGAAAATATTATTGTTTTACAAGATCTAGAAAAAATATATGATAACTCTAAAAATCAACCACAACAATAACATATATAATACCAAATCAAGAAACACTAATGTTAATATGTATGTGTTCAGATAAAGAATTTAGAACTCCCGGTAGCTCAGCAGAAGGTCTGAAGGCTTATAAAAATATTTTGTGTAGCTTTGTTTTTAACAGTACAACAAACAAACACTAAAATTTAGAATTTCCAAGACGGGAATATACCTTGTACTTAATGGCATTAGAATAAAAAAATATGGATCAAATTTGAGAACCAGAACTACTCAAAAATAAACTTTCAACAAGATATTTTCCAGCCATGATAAGCAAAGTACGGCTTCTTGAAGAAGGTGAGAATCCACGAACACTAGTGGCACAACCACTTGGATGCACCAAGCAACAGTGTGCAACATAAGCTAGAAGGATCTGTCTCGAAATGAGGCACAAGTCAGATGAACAAAAGTTGTTTCAATTACCTATTTGTTCAACCACCGCATACTTCATGTAGCTGGAGAATGAAGTGGAAGTTTATGATATTCCATAAGAAGACATGCCGTTTAAGTCGCCAGATGCAGTGCGTATGAATTTCTGTGTGGTACGAGTGTTGAAAACTGGATTAGGAAACCATCGTCCTTATACACTGAATGGATTATGGAAAGCCTTCAGAGAATATGGGTGATCTTTAAACACGCCAGTCTTAAAACGGAGCCTTTAGCAATGGAAACTATGCTACAGAACCATTATCCAATTGTAAGATCCTCAGATAAAGCATGATTAGACTACAACGATGTGTTGGGATTCTAAAATTGTTTTAATATAATCTACTCAAGCGTTATATTGCAGTGCAAAATAAAAGCTCCGATATTCGATATAAAATGGAGAACTTCCAATATAGCTAAGAATGTTTTTAGACACATATGCTGGCTTTAAAGACTTCATAAAAAGTCTGTTTGAAGATAGATGGACACACGTGTTTAACATATATGTGTATTGTATGACAAAAATGTGTATGACAAGGAATAAACACAAAGTTAATATAACTTTAAGTAATAAACAATTCATTCATAGAAATCAATTGAAAATTGTACCTAAAGGTAATTATTTCAATAATTTGCCAACAATGTTAATTTCACAAAGAAACGTTCCGTTGTAAGAATAAATGCGTATAGTATAATTAAGTAAAAACTAGCCTTTTTACATAAGATAACAATTGTTATGGTGTGAACGCCTTTTAATTGTAATCAATTATAAGGCATTATTCTAGGCCTATTATATTTTAACACTGCATTCTTAATCTAGTCCCTCAGGGACTTTCAAGAATTAGAAAAGTGTGTAATAATAGTATTTGAACCACAAGTATGATTAATTATAGTCATGTTTCTCCAGCTTGAAAAAGGCGTTCACAACATAAAAAAACTGTTATTGTCACAAATGCCCTATATAAATAGTACTTCGGCCACTAATCGTTGTAAACCAGTCGGCCTGAAGAGCATTGGATATGACGAACATAGTGTGGTTGAAATACTCTTATTATGCACTCTTCTAATTCATGAAAATCCCTAAGGGACTAGTTTAAGAACGTGGTGTTAAACATATAATAGGCCTAATATAATGTTTCATGACAAGTATTGTCTTTTATATAACATATATTAAGTTAGGATAACCCATCTACGTATAGCACACAGTTATAGCATATTCAGTTTCAAACAACTATCACCGTGTCAAAACTTAAAATCATTAATATAAATATGCTTAGTATTTAGTTGTCATTCCAAACATTTCTTTAAAATAAACATTATCGGTAAATATTCGGTGGATGTTTTATTTAAAAAATCTGAATACGACGTTTCACCATCTTTGGACAATAATATTCATTACAGGTTATCATTTTCATATTAAAATTAATTACCAAAGATATTAGATGAATTGTGTTTTCGGATATTAACACTAAAATGTTGTTTCGTTCGAATGTTTATAAGATTTAAATGTATATTTCTTATTCCTTGTAAATATCATGTCTGTTACAGGATACGAGCACATCAACTATTTTGCACTTTGTTGAAAAGTAGCATTTATTTCTTTGGGTACAACTTAGTTAAGTCTACTCTTTTTTGTGTGTTTGTGCACTGCGGCTAATATATATATATATATATACGTAGTTAGTTAGACTGCTTCAGATTTTTTGTTTATTGTATAAACAGGTGTAGTGTATAAATAATTGAAGGTGCAATGCTTAGATCGTAGATGTTCAAATAGACCAACACTGCGTTAAACGTACAAACAGTTGAAGTGCATGTTTAAATAAAATGTTAACAACGCTTGATCAAGAGTCCACGTCAAACAGATAAATGAAAAATGATAAAGATCAGAAGAATAAAACATTCGGTTATGTGATAAAAGGAGATCATGTCGTGACAACAATGTGTAAAGAAAACAAAGCTTACAGTAATTTGTACATATGAAAATAAAAATAATAATACAGTAGTACAAATTGACGTTTCTGATTAGCTGTCTGCGCTCTGTCTACCATGGAGACAAACCTCGAATTTTATCGTTATAAGTCCGTAACCTTATCGCTGATCTAAGGGGGAAACAATGGTACAAGAAGAAGTAGAATAGCAACTTATAACCAGTGAGTTTTTTTGTTGGTACACACAGTTATGATACTATTATACAAACAGATCAGTTAAGTTTACTATTATTTGTTGATTTCGGTTTATCGATTAAATCACTTCTAATTTTTAGTTCTTGCAGTATTTTGCTTCAAAAGGTACTTGTTGATCCCTGTGTACAGACAGTTGTATAATGTATTATTCCAAAGGGTTGATTGGTGTTTATGTTTCTTGAATTATTAGCATGTTCCATTATGCGTTCATTGATTAATCTCTTGGTTTCTCCACTGTACGTGGAATCATACACCACAAAATAGACAGTATAGAACATTTTTGTCATAAAAGTTTTCTCTAGGGTAGCGCTAAAAGTAACGCAGTCTTAAGCTGAACATAGCTGGTTTTGTCAAAGGCCAGGTGTATCAGGAAGATTTTTTAAAAAACTGATCTTTATTCACTGTCCTATCTTACGATTAGTTTCGTCATTTGTAAAAAACGATAAAATAACAGAGATATCGCTATAGTTTTCTAGCGAGATTTAGTTTGGTTCAGTGAGATTTTGAAACCATTATGTTTAATTAGAACAAAACTTTCTGGTTTTTTTCCTGTTCTCGGCAACTTTCCTCTCGGAGGTGATGCGCTTAGATTGTCGAACTGAGGCTGGTTGTGTTTGTTTGATATATATATATATTACACTTGTACTCGTAAATGACGTTCGAGACTGCGAGCTC